CCACTTCCTCTCTCTTTATCTTTATAAAGATACTACGAAGACTGTGACATACAAATAACGTGCGAGCTGTACCAACGCCCCTGCGATTCTAATCGTATTTTTACACCGTCTCTATTTTTGTACACGTCGTTTGCGACAGGACAAACCTTGCGCTCACGCTCACATCATAGGACATGTATTAGCGGACGTCACACATTTTAGCAAAAGCTCGTGAATATATAAAGGGGAGTAGCATAAGTCTCCTATTGGGTTTTGTGTTGGTCTCTCGGTCGTGTTCTCTGATGTGTCCAGAAAGAAAAGAACTCAAGGAGACGAAATTCGAATCAATAAGCTGAATACAGTGCCGGTGGACCGGTGGATGTGCTGTCTACCGTTCCCAACCGACAACAACCGTGGCCATGTGCTACTTCTCGAGTTGCATCTCGCGGATGCCTTTGTCCGCGGCCAGCGCATTTCGGGGGGGTTGCCACCCGTGTGCACTCTCGAAAAGAATGTGGTGGGAGAGCATCGCCGCCACGCCAAGACGACGGGCGTGCCCGCCGGGGCGTGGCGGGGCGCTTGGTCGTGGCTGCCGCGAGCCGTGCAGGCAGGCACGAACTGTCTCGAGCATGGGACTCCACTCGCAGGGGCGGGGCGGGCGGCACGAGGAGCACAGGAATGCGCGAGGTCGTCGCTTTGGAGCTCCCGCTGGCAGCTAACTCTGCCAAATCATTTGTTTTCTTTTTTTTAAAAAAATCATCGAGTAATTGCTAAGTAACCCGGGGAACGAGCGAGAAAGTGGGATCATTGCACACTTACCGGGCTCCGTGACGATACGGTACTCGGGGAAACTTGTCCGTCACGTGGTACTACATAGCGCGCGACGGTAACGGTCCACCCCGGCGGCTGCCGGTGCCCCGGGGGGTGGGGTGGGGGGAGGGGGAGGAGAAGAGGTCGTCGTCGTCATCATCGTCGTCCCGAGGATGGAGTCACCGCACTACTAACCCACTATCGTCAAAATCGTCCTCATCAAACTTTCGGTGCTTCCTGGACGCGCTGGGGGTGAGCGCAGGCGCGCGCACACGACCGCATGGGGGAAACTTTGTCATCAAATTATCATGATCCCGCGGATGGAAAAGAAAAGTGCACACTGCTGTGCACACGCGGGGGGGTGTTATGGCTTTAGGGCAGCGCGCGGCTCTCTTAAACCGCGGCCCCGGCCCGCCCCCCAGGTAGGGCGCGGCCTGGCCTGACCGACCTGCTGGGGGCGGCGGCGGCGGCTGCGGCGCGGAGGTCGAGAGGTGATCAAAACTTCAGATTGCCGCGCGACTCCTCGTCGCCGACCCCGCCCGACCCGCGCCCCGACCCGGCCAGGGCGCACCCTGCTGTCCCCGCAGCGCGCCACCCCGCGTCACTGCGCGGGGCGTGGGGCGGTGGGGGTGGTGGCCCCGACTTAACGGTTGGGGTGGGGTGGGCCGCGGCGGCGCTGGAGCTCGGTTTACGCACCTCGGGGCAACGCGTATCAATAACGTAGGAGTACGTGCAGCAGCCCGTAGTGGCTGAGCGTTTGTCAGTGTCCTAAAATTCTCACAGGTAACGTTTTAAAGAACACAGTAAAGTATACATAGAAGGGAAGCGTGATTGAAGAAGGGGGGGGGGGGGCATTGGAATATTTGGAAAAGACGAAAAGACTCAGTCCCCAGTAATTAGAATTGGGAGTGTGATGATGACTTTTGACCTCAACAAATAAATACTGTTACGATATTTAACTTACAATGTATCGAACAATAGTAGAACATCCAAATATCGTAAAACTCTGGGTAAGGCAGACCCTTTGTTACAATCAGCTGGAAATTTTTTTTTTCAATACCCTCACTTGCCTCTAGTTGAAGTGAAATGATATCAAATAATATTCATTTTAATGTGTTAAAACTCCTCTCATATTGAAAACTTTAATTTGTCATTCTTCGATTCATTTTCATCTGATCTCTCTGAAGTGTTTTAATGATCACGAGTCATTTAGTTTAATAATTGAAAGTTCTGTAATATATCTTATCATAGAATGTAATTTAAATTCTCTCACCATTTTATTTCAGTATCATTAGAAATAATATGGCTCTAGAAAAATCTAGTCCATGTAAGAGAATTATAAATCTTGTTCTGATTTTGAACGGCTTATCCTACAATAAGTTGCGACTATGGCTCTAATATTGTTCGGTCCCTTGCAAGTATATTTCTATTGAGAAAATTAGTTGTGAGTGTAATAAACCTTTTTAAGATGCTTTTTTGTAAGATAAAATGACTTCTAGTCGTTTTACGACTGAAAACCATTATTTTGTGTTCCAATGAAAAATTTGTAAAATTGAAATTTGCTAAAAGTTATCAAATTTTAAGTACAATCCCAGATTTGGATTTCTCTTGCAAAATTAAAAAGGAAATGTCTATGCTCAGAGCCGATCAGAGTCGAAATCGCAAAGTTAATAGAACCCAAAGGGTAAAAGTGTGCCAAAACGACCAAATTGTCAATTTAGAGGGGAATAACT